TTGCTAGGGTTCTAAGTTCAGTATAGTATCATCGGCATCGGGTTTAAAATGGTTTAGGGTTTAGGGCACTCATATGGTGCTTTTGCAGACGAGCACATTTTCGACCTATGAATTGGCTATTGCCTGCTACTGCGAAGCGCCGTAAATACATGCACGGCGCATGTTCGCCAAACAAGCTTTAAAGTTTGAGTCTGGGTGTTTGTTTTGTTGTCTGTCTTATGGCACCACGATTGCATAAAGGGGCAGCGCCACAACGATCTGCTTCTATTCTCTGCTTCCGGCTGTCCTACAAAAAGCTGTGCGACTTCAAATGCTGCTGTCTTCTGGTAACCCTGAACCTCTAAACCCTAAACCCTAAACCTTGGGGCTTTTGAGACGCTTTCTGCAGATCGAAAAGCGGCCCTTAAACAAAAAAACAAACCTTGTGCTACCCTTGTAGTAACCCTTATGGATCCTACGCAGGATCCCTTCAAGGAATCCTAACTCCTCTTCTTGGAACGACATCATCCAGCTGGCAACGAGATGAAAGCCAGGCTCCTTCTTTTTCCAATTTTCCGGCTGCAGGCACGGAAACCAGAAGAGGGGCTCGGTGGTTGAGGGTCATGGGTTCAGGGTTTAAGGGGGTTAGGCTTTGGGGTTAGGGTTTAAAGGTTTGGGGTTCAGGGTTTACGGGGGCAAGTTCGGATTAATCTGCCTTTTCAATCAGGTCTCAGTCGCATGCTCAGAAGCTAGGGGCGCTGTCACGAGCACAGTCTTAACTGGCGGAAGAGCGGCAAACTACCAGGGTCCTTGCAAGCAAGCCTGCAGCAGAAGGGGTTGCGACGGAACTCATAGTATCATAGGGTTGTCTTAGAGACGGCTTCTGCGGCTGCTGTCCAACCCAGCCGAAGTGCGAAGCCTGCTGCAAAATGGGGTTTCGATCAACAGCCCTGCCTCCCCCCTCCTGCCCGGGCTGAGGATTCGCGACATGCGGGGTGGTTGCAGTCGTGGGAGGTCAAGGGCGTAGGTAGGGGCCGGAGTTGCTAAATGGGTACAGTCGTCGGAAGGAGCAGCACACCCAACCGAAGCCTGGTGTGGAATATTTCTTTAGTACGACGACCTTGTGGCATCTGCGGACGGGTCGCAGGCTTGTAGTCTTCCTAGAAAGCGATCTGCCAACCCATCATCTGAACGACAACTAGACGAAGAATGAATTGTAGGTGGTAGCAGTAAGGGTCCCTTCCATCATTATAGTGCGCACAGGGTCATATGATACGATGTGCGATGACAGTTTTTCACAACCGCGCAGGACCCCGGCAATGATTCCTTGATCTTATGCTTGTAGAGAGTTTCAGTTGAAGTGTCTAAAACCTAAGCCCTTAAACGCGAAACGCCCATGCCTTGCTCCTACCCTCAGTGTGGTGGAGCTCCAATCATCCATCCGCCTCCAAAGGCCCTATACTTGGCGTTCTTCTTGTTGGCTCTTATGACTTCATTTTTTGGGTTTCTATATAAATAAACTATAATAAGGAGGTTAAAAGTTTAACTTTTTAGAGCGGTTCAGAAGTCAGCCAGGTATAGGCCTCCTGAAGCTGAACTTCAGCGAAACCTCACGCTCTAGACCCCGGACCTAACTTCAACCTGGAAAGCACCGGAACTCAAACTAAGCCGGCAAGAAGCAAGCCTTGGGCCAGAGGCCCAATGGTTCTGTGGTTATGTGCTTTCTGGGCCCTGAACCCTTGTAGTTGTAGAGTCAAGAACCCCCATAGCGGACCACTGAACTCAACTCCTATTTCAAACCCAATCGAACCCTAAACCCCTAAACCCGAAACCGTAAACCCCCTCAGAGAACTTCCCTTAACCCTAAACCCTACCCCCTCAGAGAACTTCCTTAGAACCCTCACGGACCTCAAGAACCTGGACCCACCCTCGACCCCAAAAACTGAAACCCTAAGGCTCTAAACGTTAAAACCCCAAAGCCCTAGGAAGGGTTACTATAAAGGTTCCTAACCTAAATCCTAGACTCCTAAAATTCCCTAAGCCCTAAACCCTGAAGCTATCGTAGAGGAAAAAGCCGGAAACCCTAAACGCCTAAATTTCCTTAAACCCTATAAACCCTGAACCCTGAAATCCGAAACTCCTGCTTTCCTAAAGTTTGTGGCCTTGAACCCTCAAAAAAGCCCTAAGCCTAAACCCGAAAACCCTAAACTCCTAATTCCGAAACCCTCATCGTCAAAAGGGTTCCTAACTTGAAATACCTACAGTAGAAGCCAAAACCGTTGGAAACCCCATAGCCTCAATCCTTAAGAGTACTGTAAAGGGAATCCCAGCACTATTTGGCCTTAATCCAGTTTCCAACTTCATGGGGTTTACCCTAAACCCTAAACCCTAAACCCTAAACCCTAAACCCCTAAACCCTAAACCCCTAACCCCTAAACCCTAAACCGTTTACTGTAAACCTCTAATCTCCTAAGCCCTCATCACGCAGGCGCGAAAGGAGCGCAAGCGGCTCCAGGAGAAGCTCAAGGCGGCTGCAAGGGGGTCTTGGGGGGGGAGACCTTCAGTTTAGGGCTTAGGGGTTTAGGGGTTTATGCAAGACGTCTGCGGACCATCCTAGCGAGAAAAACGCCAAGATGCTTAACAGAGCGACATACAAGGGTTTAGGGGTTTATAGGGTGTAGGATTTTCGGTTAGAAGGTCTCTGTTTAGGCTTTTTCTCTGTTGTAAGGGGGTCCCGGGTGCTGTTTGAGCATTGTAGCGGATACAGCTACGACTGTCTACTTACAAGTTCTTTTCTTATCTCTGCGGTCTTTCTTTCTGCCCGCCGAGTTGTTGGACCTAAGCCCTAAATCACGCAGACCTTGCCAGGCTTGTCCGAGTGTGAGTGTCAAAAAAATCACAAACCACAATCAAACCTAAACTTCAAAACTTAAAACACCTAAGCCATAATTCCTCATCCCTTAACCCTAAGCCTTGATCCCGAAACCCTAACCCCTGCACCCCTTCAGCCGGAGCAGGCTGAGCGCGCCTTAGAGGAGGTGAGCGCGAGCTCGAGCTCCGCCTGAGGACGGCATTTGCTCAGGAGTTTACAACTTACCCTAAGGGTCCAAAGGACCCAGTAATTAGGTACTTTGATTTCAGATAGTAGTTATGTAGGTTACTATTTGGGAGAGTATATTAAATGATTATTAGGTACCGGGACCCTTAGGGTATGGTTTTTGCTGCCAATAATTGTAATTTGAGGGTTTACGGTTTAGGTAGTAACAAGAACACTCTATCAAGAAAACTAGACATAGTAGCTAACTCAGTTGAGGCAAGAAGATTGATGAGTTACTGATCTTGTTGCACAGGGTTCCTTGTTGTGATGATGCCAGGAAAGCCCGCTCTACCCCGAGGCCCCACAGTAGTTCCTTTTTGGGATTACCTTATAGGATTCTAAATATATGAACCACAAGAAGGAACTACTGTGGCGATTTAGGGTAATTATTACACCACCCCGGACATTATGGGTTTAGCGTGGGCCTCATGGTTGGCAGTATGCCATGAGGGTTCGATGGTCGGCTTGGTGCGTAATATAAGGGCCTTAATAGTTACCTAGTGTTGCCTTTAAAGGAATCCTGACACGGGTCTATAAGGGTTCTAGAGTAGGGTTCTATGTTAGGGCCTTGATAATTACCTATAGTATTTCGGAGGTTGCTGTACAATGGGCCGCAAAACCCTATTCTAATTGGTAAGGCCCCTGCATTGTAGTACCCTCATAGATCCCCTATGTAGTCCTTATATAGACCCCTTTAAAAGGAGCCATGTTCTAATTATAAAGGCCCCTACATGAGGTTCATTGCTGACATGGCCATGTAAGTTACATGTCCTATGGGCGGTTGTCTAAGCCTGGATCCCTTGGAATGGTCCCGATTGTAAGCGTGCCGTAGTATTTTGGGGGGACCCGAATTTAGAGAGCTGCCCTAATGTTATCTTGACTTGGCTTTGGATTGAAAAGCCTCCGACCTTCGTAGGAATGGCGGTGTGGAGTTGCACTCTTAGCGAGCTTCTGCCAGAACGACAAGAAGAGCCGAAGGTTAAGACGCAAGCTTAATTCGTAAAGGAGCGTTGGGGAAGATGAAAACTCATTCTTGAGGCTTTCAACATCGTGCCGGGTGTCCTAGCAACCTCGAGCCGCAAGCTTTACACCCCGCAGGCCCTAATGGTTTAGGGTTTAGGGTCTAGGGCTAAACTTCAGAATCGCCGATCTCTAAGCTCTGGATCCCCGGCCACCCACAGCTCACAGCCCCAGCCCGAAACCCTACCAAATCTCCGAACCCGCAGCGTGAACCTTAAGCCCTATACCGGTCGAAACTCCACGGAGCACCTTCCTAGTAGTAGAGTAGGTAACCTTTACGCCTTTCTGGGTAGTATGGTCCCTATATAATCCCTTTACAGCCAAAAAGGTTCACCTTTAGTTCCCCATGATACCCGACAAGTAGGCCTTTAGGAGCCCTTCTAGTAGAAGCCAGAAAGTTGGAATATCATTATCCTAAACCCTTTATGGTAAATTATAGGGGATCCTACCCTGAAACCATCTTCCAACTTTCTGGCGTTCCCTATAAAGGGAGTCCGAGACATGTCAGACTGCTTCGCAGCCGTTAAAAGCCCGAAGTTGCAGAGTAGCAGCGAGTTGTCGCTGACAGAGTTTAGAGGCCCCGAGCAGTACACCGTTTAGGGTTTAGGGTTTAGGGTTTAGGGATTCATTTTGCCAGGGGGTGCTATGGGTTCTACAAGGTATCCGGTCCTAACTGCTGCAGTAGTTTCTACGGCTATGGCTATTGCTACCAGTGTTACAATGCAAGTAGCTGCATTGTTAGGGTTTACGGCGGTGGAGGGTTACAGTGAACCCCAAACAGTTGGAAACCGGATTAGGGACACTTAGTGCTGGGATTCCCTAAACATGTCTCTTAAACTTTGGGGCTTCTGCTGTACCTGTCTTTTTTTCGGCCGAAGGCCTGCATCCTTGAGTTAAGTCGCTCATGGCGCTGGAATACCCGATCCACCTCGGCTTGGCCTACCTTTTCCTGGGAGGCCAAGTGTCGAGCCTTACAGATTTGCCAGTTGGGGTTTAGGACCCTTAGGTTGTGTGGAATTTTATTACAACGCTAAAGTCTTACAACATTACGGGAGCAGAATCGTTAGTCTATCTTACTTTAGCTCTAAAGTCTAAATTCTAAACCCTCAGCCCTTGCTTTGGGAGGCTACCTGGCCAGTCGGATCTTTTGGGCTCTGCGTCTGCCTGCTGCGGTTGGAATCATTGCGAGTGGCTTCATCTTTTCCCATTTTATTCAGCTTCTTTGTCTTAGTTGGGTAACATGTTATCATCTTTTCCCATTTTCTGCAGTTTGATAGTCTTAGTTACGTCTTAGTTGGGTAACATTTTACATCTTTTCATGGAGTTCCTAGGCAACTGCATGATTTGTGGCTATATAGGCCAAAGAAGAAGTAGAAATTATCATTTTCCAGCCATGGACTAGGTTCGACATTCTCCAGGGGCGCGACCACCTACAAGGACTTTCGTTTTTCCTCGTGCTCCTCACTGCCGGCTTTGAGTTGCAACCTGGGTTGTTGTTAAGAAATTCAATCTAAGTTACCGTAGTAGGAATCTATAGTAAATATCATGGTTTCCTTATTATTGTAACTCAAACTAAACTCCTGAACAAGAATTCAGGCAAGTGAGTGACCTTCGTGCAGAGACTTTCGTCTTTGCATTCCTCCCAGTGACGCTGGAGCTGCTTGGAATTGCAGCTTGTGCCCAGCTCCTCTTGCATTTCACACTGCTGGAGAGCCTGGTGTTGGGCGCTACGCTCTGCTGCTTAGGAGATGGCTTGGTCATTCCGAAGATGATCGAGATAAAGAGCCGCAAAGAGTTCGAGAGCTCACCAATGCCAAGATTGGTCTTCGCTGCAGCACCTTTAGAGGCATCGTACGTGCTCACCATCTACGGTGTTCTTGAAGGGCTAGCTGTGTCAGAGCATCAGGAAGCGGCCGGGATTTGGACGATCGTTTTTGCCAATCTTCTACGAATCGCTGCCACTCTGCTATTTGGTTCCATTGCCGGGTATTGTGCGGGCGTGTTCATCGTTGAAGGCCGCAATAGCGACGCCTGGCTTGGTTGCTCTTGGGCAGATAGGGCAGGCTGGAAAGAGTACTCCGCAAAAATCTACGAGGCATACATATCATGGATGCCCATAGCTCCAAAGAAGTTTTTCCGGCAGACTGATGTGGAGGCATACTTGTTCATCCTGAGCGTTGCCCTTCTTGGCTTTGGTGTCGGCTCGATGACTGTAGCCTCTTTGGCCCCCACGATTGGGAACCTCCTGCCGTCGGCCTTCGGTGAGGGGGAGATGTTTCAGCCAGAGCTTCTCGTCATTGTCATAGGCTCCTCCTTTGCCTACGCCTGCGAGAAACACGAGACACCAACGCCTGAAGAGGGGGGGGTTCTGGACAGTGTGCTCGTCATTGTCGGTGGCGTTTGGACCTTCGGGCAGCTCGTTCTCTTCAGCATGTTGGGCAGTCGTCTCGATGTGACAGTGTTTCAGCAGGTCTTCCACGTCCTTCCTCTCATGGTGGTCGGGCAAGCATTCCGATTTCTCGGGGTGGGGCTCTCGACCATTCTGGTGGTGAAGCTCGAGTGGCGGACCTGCGAGGATGAAGCTGACGAAGTTTGCAAGAAGTCCTTCCAAACAACTGAATCTAGGTAGGGCTTTGGGACATTTTATATTTTCCCTTATTGGTCTTAAGAGGATCTTATTTACTAAAATTTTTCAAAGGCTCTAAACGCCCCACCTAGGAATGGCCCGATGCAATGTTCTGCTTCTTGTCGGCGATGCCTCGGGCGACAATCCAGGGAGCCCTTGGGCCAGTTCCCCTGGTGAAGAAGTTCTTTCCGCTGGAGCCGGCTGCACGTGGCCAGGAGGTCCGGCTCTTCATAGCAGCAGCCGCGAGGCTGTACGTCCTAGTCTGCGCAGTTGCGGGCTCCATCCTTCTGGACGACTATGGCCCATGGTACCTGGAACAGGCAAATTCTGAGGCGGGCCGAGCGAAACGCTGCAAAGATTGCCATGCAAGTGAAGTTGAGCAAGCACGGAAGTCCATGTCCATTGCGGAGCAGAACGAATCAGAGGACAGCGACGGATCTCAGATGGAGGATCTAGAAGGTGGGCTGCAGCCAGAAGGCACAGCAGAAGATGGACCGAAGGTCCAACCAAAACCGCGCAAGACTCGTGTGGCATTCCGTGACTAGGTACCGATTTGGATTAATTGTCAGTCTTCTGCCTGCGTAACATGGAACCCCTACCATCATCATTGTTGGGGCTGTCGTAATCCACACCCCTAAGGCCCTAAGCCTTAAACCCGAAAGCCCTAAACCCCAAACCCGAAAACCCTCAACCCTAGAGTATCCGAGCACTCTTCTGGCGAGTCCGAGTTCCGAGTGCGCAAGCTAAGGTGAGGACGGTGAGGATTCCGAGGAGTTGCCGGCCCCAAAGCGCCGAGTAGGTAAGGCGCAGACGGCAGCTGCAGGGTTAAAGGAGCCCTGGCTCTTCATCTGGGAGTTTCCGAAAATTAGGGGTACCTTGTTTTGGGGTCCTTATAATAAGGATCCTATTATTTAGGGTGCTATATTAGGGTTCCCTATTTTCGGAAACTCCCATCTAGAATCCAGAGTAGGCCCTCATTCCCTTTCGTAGGGTTCAGGTTCGCTTACAATATTATAAGCACCTTTAAACCAAAAAGGGCACCCTTTTAGTTCCTAGGTTACTCTTGGGTCTAGTCAGTCATTGAAGACGTAGGGATGAGGGTCTAGGGTTTAGGGGTGGGTTTAGGGTTTTTGGGCTTAGGGTTTAGGGTTTTGGGACTTCATTTGTCCATGTAATCGGAGCAATCTCAGGAGCACATCGGGGCCATCCAGAACTGGACGTATTCCTCGTCGGAAGCACGCAGGCGAACCCTTGCTGAGTCCGTGGCAATTCAACGCCGGCGCCGCTCAAGTGTGTCGGGCTCTCGTCCATCTGACGCTGGGTTTGAAAGCACACCCTAAACCCTAAACCCTCAGTTTTTGTGACATTATGGGAATCTTGTATCCCTACATGTAGTTTGCTTCCTTGTGTCATGCTCGTCATGTTTGTCTTGCTGGCTTCCAGCCCGAGTCCCTTCTCCAGAGACTCCACGAACCGCCAAGGAAGAATGCTCCTTAGATCCTTCTGACCTTCTGAGGATCCTCTACAGTAGAAGCCAGAAAGTTGGAACATCATTATCCTCATGCCCTTAAAGTAAAGTATAAGGGATCCTAGCACTAATCCTCCTAAATCCATGTTGCAACTTTCTGGCTTCTACTGTATTTCGCAGTTGGTGAGTTTCGGAGTCTCTGGTTCAATCCAAAGAAAGCCCTACATCCCGAACCCTTCCTAAACTCCCGAGCCCTAAATGCAGCCCCGTAACTCCCCGATTTGGGAGTCTGCTTACTGGACTTTAACCCTACCCCATTATGCCCCATGATTTCGATCCTATGATTCTAACTCGGCAGGCAAATTTCCCCCGGTCTTTGAAGTATTTCATCTAGAGAGCCCTTGTGGAGCCGTTGTACAAGATCCTTTAATGTAGGCGCCCTAACAATTAGAATAGGATTTTGGGGCCTAGTATACTACAATTATAATAAGGAGCCCCTGAAAACAGTATCGGTAATTATTTAGGCCCTATATTGAACCCTAAACCCTACGCTCCCACCTCCCGAGGCAGGGTCTTAGATCCTTATTATGGGCATTAAGGTCCTCTGCCCCCCCAAAGGGTCCCTATGACTTCACCTACAGTAAACCCTATAACCTTGGAAACCGGATTTAGGCCAAATAGTGCTGGGATTCCCTCTACATCACTCTTAGGCATCAACTATTGGGTTTCCAACTTTTGGGCTTCCACTATACTTCGACGAGCCTAGGACAGCCGCGCCTCGCACACCTCCCTGCCTCGACGTGGAGTGCTGTTTCTGGGCAGTTGTTTTAGGATTTAGGGTTTAGTGTTTCTGCGTCCTTGTTTTAGGGTTTAGGATTTAGGGTTTAGGGTTTCTGGGCCCTTGTTGCGGTAAGGTAGTTTACTTACAGCCCGATACCATATATTCTTAGTAGCTGGGTAGGCAACCTTTAACCTTTTGGGGCTATAGAATCCTACAACTATTGAAAATGTTAACCTTTTTTGGGAGAGGATACTCAGCCCTTAAGCATTTGTATATGCATGATTGTCAGAAGTATCTAATCTAGCTGCCCCTGTTTTCTGTTTGCACAACCTTAACAATGTGTAAATTTAAATTTTCGGTGTATATATGACCATGACAGCCATGGCAAGTGACGAAAACAGGAGTATATAGCCAACAACTGCTAGTTTAGAGCAGATTACGACCAGCATATGTTTTGTGTTTTGCTTTAATCGATGCAGATATTGTAGAAGTATGTGTGTATCCATGAATATGTATATGTAAGTGTATATGCATATACCTATAAAGTACACCGAGTGCATGATGCAGTGTCGCACCTCGAAGATCGGGCGACTTGAGAAGTGAAGTAGGGCCACAAGCAGTTACAAGTGTAGCTACCCTTCTTATAACCCTTGTATACTATAGCATATTATGGCATATTACAGTATATTATAGTATATGAAGCTGCCCTACTTAGAACTCTTACGAGCATCCGGCTTTGAAAATCCTACTGAATCAAAAGGTTAACTTTTTTGGCGCTAGGGTACACAGCCGCTAAGTAACCCGAGTTACGACGCTTGCGCTAAAATGCATGCCCCATAAAAAGACCCATAAAACCCTATAAACATATATATATATATATATATATATACATATATACATATGTATATACATACACACCTAAGTTTAAGGAAGGTCCCTAACAACCCTGGACCCTGAACTATAAGCATCTAAGTTTACGGAAGGCCCCTACATCTTAAACCCCGGACCCTTGATGTACAGTAAGTTAACATAACAAGGAACATATATTGTTTATTCCGGATCCCCATTAGGGACACTTAAACCAAGCTCGTTTTCACGGGCCCAGACTTTCGACACCGAAATAAGTTTAAGGAACGTCCCTGACTCGAGCGAAGGTTCTCCATGGATGCTCCCCGGCCGCCCGAGGACGACTACGAAGAGCACGCCGCTTGGTTGCTGTCGAAGCGAATTTGTGTATGACCATTTGTAGATTATTAGCCAGGATAGAATAGATGTGGTGCCAGCGGTGGTAGGGTGGCTTTGGGCAAGCTTTTTAAGATGAATCTTTTTAAAGTACTTGTCTTTAAACCCACGATGACCATGTGAGTTTTCGTTGGCACCTCAGCAACTACCTAAACACTAGACCCTAAACCCTACACCATAAACCCTCAACCCTGCTAAACCCCAAACTAACCCTGATCCATATACCTTAAGCCCTAAACCCTAAACCCTAAGCCAGCCCAGGACACGGGAGCAGGCGCAGGTGGAGACATAACTCAGCTGCATCCAGCCTTGCTCGGCCCGAGGGGTCAGAGACTGGTCTCCGGAGTACCATTCTTCCTTTGTCATAGGGTTTAGGGTTTAGGGTTTAGGGGTTTAGGGTTTAGGGGTAGTTGGGTAACATTTCACATTTTTATGGGTACTTAAACCCAATAAGGATAAGCATGTACGTTTTTAATACGATCCCAACCATGAATTGGCTTCGCTATGGTGGTGTGGGAGATTGCGAAAATTAGGGGTGCCTTATTCGGGTGTGCTAGGGTTCCCTTAAAGGGATCTATAAGGGTTCAAAAAAAGGTTCAGGTTTTGAAGTTTCCGATGTTTTTTGGGATGCCTTATTTTGGGATCCTTATAAGGGTCCTACTGTTTAGTACACCTGGGTCCCCTATTTTCGGAACGCCCTATATACTAGCATAGTAGTTAATATTTGTAAACAGAACAGTGTAAACTGAAATATCAAGTTATAGTCATTCACCAGAGTGCTATAAGAACATAAATGGAATAGTTCTAGTTATAGTGATATACTTACACCGCAGTATCAATATACTTTTATCAAAAACACAAACAATTTAGTTTCCTTACGCTGTTACTTCTATTTTCATTTGTTCCTCACAGGAACCAGTATGAGATCGGCATTTACAGTTTGTCTCGCCTGGTCATATCACAGCCCAGGAGATACAGTCCGATACCGCACGAAGCCACCAGTCAGCTGTCCAGAGAGGCGACGCCTCTGGACGGACCTGCCGCGCATGGAGTTGCTCCTCTAATAGGAGGCCAAAAGGGGTTTTAGCCTATGGGGGTTTAGTAGGGATTAGGGTTCCCATAATAGGGTTCATATTAAGGAAGCCCTACCCCAAGAATCTTAAACCCCCCTTTTGGCCTCCCATCATCCTTTTTATAGATTAGGGCTTATGGTTCAGGGTTTCCCAAGTGGCAAGCTTTTCCAGCTCTTGATGATGCAGCTTCCAAAGGCGCTGAGGAGTTTTGCGAAGCGATAATTTTGCAAACATATTGTACCATGTTATACTCAATTTTGCTATGCTATAATATATCAGAGTACTTAACGGACTGAACGGCTGTTGGAGAAGTAAGGCTGCTTCGGGTCGTGGACAGGAAGGTGCCGGTGATCCGATCTCCGCGGATGTGCTTCGAGATGCACCCCACCAGTCGCATGGCGAAGACGCGACGCTGGATGGACCAAACTCAGCTGCCGATGTGCCCGAGACCCGTGACGAGCAGGATGGCGAAGCAGGGCAGGACCGGACAGCTCCGAAAGAGACGGTCCCAGAGAAGCCTCCTCTCTCCGCAGCCGGGCCTACAAGTTCGCCACAATCCTCGGAGGAGGCTCCCGTCCCGGCTTCGGCCACAGAAGCTCGGGGCAGAGCGGAGACCGCCTCAAGCCGACGAAGCCTGGCAGAGTGTGATGAGTTCGGGCCCGACTCCGCCCGAAGGGCGAGTATGCCCGGGCACCCCGGGGGCTCTGGAATAGGGGAGTTGAACACCCTAGACCAACCCCCGGTGGACAAGCCCAATGAGCCTTGATTTTTCAGCTACGGATCGCTTATGTTGCCTTTAAAAGTAACGCCGCGGCTGCTTGCTTTTGATGCTCCAGTGTGGCATCTGCACCCACTCCCGCGTTACGCTTTGCCCTTCGTTCGCTTGCGGCACTTCAAACTGAAGCAATGCAGGCACTTAATTCCGAGGCAGGGGTTATGGCTACCAAGCATCGGTTATTGCTTCTCAGCACGAAGAACTATTCGTACGGCCGTTGGGGGGCTGCTAATATTTCACGTGGGCAATCTTTCGATTCGTTTCCAGTTCTTCCCTTGTTTCTTGTCATTGTGTCGTCGAAAGCTGTCGAGAAGCCTGCTCCTGCTCCTGCTACTGCTACTGCTGCTACCGCTGCTGCTGCTGCTGCTGTTGCTAATGCTACTCCTACTACTCCTACTCCCCTCCCACTCCCACTGCTACTACTAGTACTACTGCTGCTGCTGCTGCTGCTGCTGCTGCCATCCCAACACAACCTCGTCTTCACAAGTACCAAGTTTCCTTGCCAGTTATTGCTATTGTAATTTCCATGTCCTCTCGCGCAGGACGAGGGCCGTGATGCCAAAGAACGGCTCATGGAAGAAAAAGAACTGCAGTCCGGCCTGAGGTTTTGGGTTCAAACGTTTTGGGGGTTTTGCTTAAGTGGTTTCCAGTGTGGATGAGGTTTGGGTTCAGAGGGGCTCTTCGTAGAAAGCTTTGCAGGATGGACTACCGTCTGTTTGATTTTGCGTTTGCCTCTTTGTGGGTAAGCACGCTAGTACGCACAGATCTGTCTCTCTCTCTCTCTCTCTCTCTCTCTCTCTCTCTCTCCTCTCTCTGTACATATCTATATGCATATGTACAGCTCATACATTGATTTTTTTGTTCATGCATGTGTACATGACAGTGTCGTTCGATCGGGAAGTAGCCCGCCCAAACAAAGTAGCAAAGTGCATTTAAGGCACACTATCCTCTCATATTCGTCGCTTTACAGCTGCTTTTGTATAGTACAACCCAGTGCTCCATATAACCAAAATGCTATATTACTATAAGCCCAAACCCTTTTGACACTCTCTGGGCCGCACCTTAAGGCACTATCAAAGGGATCCATTCCCCCATTCCCTACCAAGAATCAGACAGATGAAGCGGAGTCTATGGCTGCTTTCCTAGGCTTGGCGCTTTTAGGGTTTAGGGCCTAGGCTAGGGTTCAGGGGAGGTATTTAAGGTTTTGGGGTTTAGGGTTTAGGGTAGGTACTTCTGCCTGACGCTGTTAAGTATGCCAAATCAGTTTCGAAAGCTGCTGATGTAGTTTATACTTGGAGTGTCTTCCCTTTGGAGTGGAGGGCCGACGTTTTGGCTTTCGCGGGACCTGCAGTGACAGTCATAGCAGAGCGCGGGAGCGAGAGAGAGTGGAAATGGAAGGCACGAGTCCTTTGTCTTTGCTGCTGGCATTCGTGGTTGTCCAGTTGTAAAGGGGTTTAGGGGTTTGGGGGTTTAGCGGTTTAGGGGGTAAGGGACTCAGGGTGTTATTGGTATTATGGTTATTTCTAAACCCTAAGGTCTCATGGCCAGCGTCGCGTATTCGTTTTCTGCCGTTTGTGACCTGACTGAAAATGCTTTTGCAAGTTGCAGACGCCGTGGATTTCGTCTCATGCGTGCTTCCATGTCACACCGTGTCGGCTCGAACTGTGGTTGGGCAGTGGGTGCGACATCGATCGCTGCCCCATGCCCCATCCGACGCTACTGTGAAGCACGCCCCGTGTCTGCAAAACAGGACGGCACAGAGATAGCGAGCATAACCTCAACCCTAAACCCAAAGCCTTGCCGCCGGAAAGAGAAAGCCCTGACCTGCGGCCGACGGCTTTTAGTTTGTATTTTGACTCACTCTGAAGCTTTTCCTGAGCCCTGCTGTACCCCACAAACCTTCAAAAATTTAGGGTTAGATCCCCAGTACCCAACCTTCAAACTTTTTGGGTTCATGTAGTTTAGTAGGAATCGGCAAGTTTAACCTTTACATTTGTGGCTTAATTGGGTAGTAAGGTTAAGGGTTCCCAAAGCACCTGAGGCTGATCAGCGGGAAGGCACCATGCCGTCCCTGCGTCAGATTAATTTCCATGGCGAGCCCCTGGCACACGGCTCAGGGGGTATGGGAGTTTGGTTGAGTGCCTTCTTGCACTTTTTTTCCGGGGTCTCCCCGGCTACTTTGGCCTTTGGCAAGAGCTGGGGTTTAGGGTTCGCGCAATGCTTTCCTACGCTATTACGAGTCTACAGTACGGATGCTGCAGAAAACAAGGCCTAATGGACACCAATGAAAAGTACAGTTTCACAGATGGGCATTCGCACCTCAACACACAATGCCATGTAGACGAGGGCATTCGTGGAGAAGTCGGTTCTTAGGTCCAGACCCGCAGCACTACTGTAAACCCTAAACCCCCAACCTAGGTTCCCTAAAGCCTAATGAAGCCCTGAACCCCCAACCTACACTTCAGACCTCGAACCATATGCCTCGAGGGATTGTCCGAGTGTGTGCCCCCTAAACCCGCAGCCTAGGTTCCTCTATACCCAGACAACCCAACACCCCTTAATTAAGGAATATACCTTAAATGATTGAGGCCCGAGTATTATGATTTAAGGTATATTCCTCAAGGGGCATTGCGATCTCTGGGTATAATGGTGCCGCCCTTGTGCCTCCTAGTCGGTTTCAAGCAGCTTCTGGCGACCTCAAGGCTCCGTATAGATCCCTGAACAGTATTGCACTATGTTACATTACTGTATGGTACTCTACTAGACTATACTATACCGTACCATGCTGCACCATACTCTACTACAAAATTCTATCATGAGTGCTATGCACACCTCTCGAGGACCATAGGAACTATAGTAACGGATCCCCATGATGCTTGTAGTGGAATTTGACTGATTCCAAGATCTCTTGACAGTAATCATGTTCAGTCTGCAGGACATCCAGAGAGAGAGCTGATCTTCAGTTTTCAAGTTCGAGCACACACGACAAGCTGGTCTGTTGACTGCAGCAAGATGAGATGGCCCAACCAGACCCATAATCCGAATTTCTAACCCCTGAACCCTATTCGAAACCCGATAAACCCTCAACCGAAAACCCCTGAACCCTCAGCTACCCTAAACCCCTCAATCCTAACCGTGCTCACACACTCAAGCTTGAGGTGGCTCTGTCGAGCAAGTTCGTTCCGGGGTTCTTTAGCCAGCATCGGCCCCGGCGTCCACCGCTGCAAAGTCATGATAGGGGCCTTAACTATTACCTATCGACCCCTTTAACGGGATCCTTAAAGGGGTTTATAAGGGAGTTCTAGATGAGGGGCCTTAGTAATTACCTATACTTGTTGGTGGGCTCCTTATTATCAATATAGTAGAATGGGCCCCAAAACCCTATTAAAATCATTTAGGCCTCTATAGTACCAACCTTAAGGCAGTTTGCTTCACTATGCTACGTTGCACTACATCTTACCACTTCAGAGTACATTATGCTATATTCTACCATACGATACTACATGTTACTACACTGCATTATACTACACTGTACTACGTTCTGTGTATGTATGTATGTATATTGTGTATATATGTATATATATACACATTATATCATACTGTATCTTGCTACATTATGCTACACTATATTGCATTGTAGTTTTGTGTGCTTATGCCCTGGCTGAGAACCTAAACTGGGGTGAGGGGGTCCCGTTGAACTCTGGGGTAGTAGTTAGTAGTATACTAAACGTTATCAGTAGGAGTCGCAAAATAGTACCAGGAGTTCCATTGAATTCTGGGGTAATAGTGCGCAGGATAGTATTAGGAGTTAGTCCGGCCCTCATATTACAGAATGTAAGCTTCGCTTAGAGCCCTCCTGTACCTCTCGTATACCTATGGACCTACCCAAAGGCTCCATGTAGCTTTATAGTAGATACTTAAGCCTTGAAGGGGTCCCTATATAGGTACTTTAAGGCCTAAGTATATACTATAAGGGTACATGGAGCCTTAGGGCTATGTCCCTCCCAGAACCCTGTTCTGGTCGTGGGGACCGTGAGACTGTCGGGCTGAAGCATGGCTACCCAGAGACTCCAAAATCCCTTAAGGAATACCTAGGGTTCCTTTAAGGGATCTATAAGGGATCTATAGGGTTTAGGGTTTAGGGGATTCGAATATCCCTTAATTAAGGAATATTCCTTAAATTTTGGTAGGATCCCTTATATGATTTAAGGTATAATACTTAATCAAGGGATGTTGGAGTCTCTGGGTAAGTCACTTGAGGCATCTAACCTGGTGAGAGCGATTGCGGTGGCAACGGGGCTTAGGTTTGGGGTTCAAGCCTAAACCCGAAGCCTTTTTCCACTGTTCCACTAAACTTCTAACCTTAACCCTAAACCCTTGCTAGGTAGGAGGGAAAAAAAGCCCTAAATCCTGAACCCCAACAACACGTCTAGAAGCCCAGGCTTTGAGCACCCTGCTCAGAGACCCCAATGTATCCCTTAATTACGGAATATACCTTGAATCATACTGGGGATCCTACTACAATTGGAGTGTCTGGGTATGAGTTAGTAAGTAAGCACATTCTTGTGTACTTGCATGGGCAGTTCTCTATATTCGGGTTCTTTGCAGCGTCTCTTCTACGAGATGTAGGCGTGCCGTACTAGATATTTTGAGGACCTAGCCAGAGCCTAGTTTAAAGCACACCTCATATCATTGCGCTCTTACAGGCCTAAACCTTAACCTTCATCTGTTCTGAGAGGTTTTGTTGCTAGAGCTCATTGTTGACTGCCCCTTAGAACGTTTCACATTGTCAGACTCCGAACCATATGCCTCGCCTGGATTGTCCGAGTGTGAGCGCCGAGACCTTAATCTGAGTCGTCAGGCCCCTATGTTCATCTCACACATCGGCCTGGCGGAACTTGATGGCTCCATGACATGTAGCTATTTGGCCTGACATGTTAACTATGGGAGTTTGAACGCTTAGTAGCAGCACCCTTTTTCATCCCTATCTGATGCGAACTATATATCCTAAAGCTCTGTGATAAGTACTAAGGCCCCCAGAAGTGTGCCTGAATCAGCTCGCAATTTCCCCAATGCAGGTTGGCAACCGTTTCAGGCCAAACTAGACTTGTCCAGGACAAGTGTTTGTCTCCTAGCTCCCAAGCTCAATGTGCAGACAAAATACACATCCGATGGGTGACATCCCGCCTCCTTTTGCAGTTCCGGGGCGAAGCCCAACCTAAACACTAAGCCCTGGAATGCCCTCTAATTCCTCACGCCCCTGACTCATGGCGCTGGAATACCCGATCCACCTTGGCTTGGCTTACCTGTTCTTGGGAGGCTACGTGTCTAGCCTGATCTTTTGGGCTCTGCGCCTGCCTGCAGCAGTTGGTATCATTGCCAATGGCTTCGTTTTCTCCAATTTCATTCAGGCGGATGTCCTCAATGGTCGAGATGATCTGCAGGCACTTTCCTTCTTCCTCGTGCTCCTCACTGCCGGCTTTGAGCTGCAAGTGAGTGACCTTCGCGCAGAGACTTTCGTGTTTGCATTCTTCCCTGTAACGCTTGAGCTGCTTGGCATCGCAGCTTGTGCCCAGCTCCTCTTGCATTTCACACTGCTGGAGAGCCTGGTGTTGGGCGCTACGCTCTGCTGTTTGGGAGATGGCCTGGTCATTCCAAAGATGATCGAGATAAAGAGCCGGAAAGAGTTTGAGAACTCCCCGATGCCAAGGCTGGTCTTTACAGCAGCTCCCTTGGAGGCATCCTACGTGCTCACCATCTACGGTGTTCTTGAAGGTCTGGCTGTGTCAAAGCATCAGGAAGCGGCCGGGATTCTGGGTTCTTGTTAAGGAATTTGATTGAAGTTGCCCTGATAAAAGCCTACATATAGTACATAATGTGAATCGTATGGTTTCCTTATTATGGTAGTTCCAAATTATAAATTCCGTAACCCCGTAAACCCCCTCGGAACCCTTAGAGGAACCCTTATAGACCTCCTAAAGGAACCCTAAATTTTGGTAGCTTACATTAACAAGAACCTAGGATTTGGACGATCGTCTTCGCAAATCTTTTGCGAATCGCTGCAACACTGCTAGTTGGCTCGATGATCGGCGACTGGGATCTGGTTTTAGGGCTCCTTTTAGTTACGGCCCCCATACCGTAAGAGTCTATAATTGGGCTACTATTAAGGTCCTACTATATCTAGAATATTATGAATATTAAAACAAAACGGGGGACCCTGGGCGTGCACTTTTCAAGGAGTTTTAGCGCTAGCTTCAGCATCATTTACGCAATACTTAATGAGAGAGGTACGCTCCCTGCAATAACGGAGTGTCGCTGCAGATGACACCTCAAAAGAACCAAAAAAGACCTAAACACCAAAAAAATAAAAAAATAAAAAAAGCAACAAAAGAACCAAAATAACAAAAAAAAACAATTGCCAGAGACTCCTGGACTGAAATTTCCATGGCCGGAGAGTGTCGGATTTTTGGTTATTTTGGTTCTTTTGTTTTTTTTTTATTTTTTTTGTTCTTTGGTGTTTTTTGGGTTCTTTTGTTGGAAGTGGCTGCCAACCCAAAAAACATCAAAATACGCGCGCGCTGGCACACATTGGGGGGCAATGCACTCTCACGGCAAGGCTCGTAGACAATGCACATGTATACGTGTGAGTACTGCAGTTGGTCTAGTTTCAAGGTGTTACAAGTTACATTGTCATTCTTGTAATTAGGCTTATCGGCGTCTGCGGGATACAGCGACCAATTATTTGTTGAGCTCCGTTTGATTTACAGTAAGTACCATTTTTACTGTTAATACGGTGACCATTAAATGTCTCTGAAATATGCAGGTCGATATTGATTCGCCGATTTTTTGTGTTTTTTGCAGGAAAAACCCCAGATGAAGTGTATAGTACTGGTGATCATATTGTCGTAAATTACTACAGTTACTTAATCTTATTTCAATCTCACATAGGCTGTTCACAGCATACTAGAAAACTTGGATGTGCATAGATACATGTGCGTGTGAAATATGTATGTATGCATATGTATATGTATATGTATATAGGTACACATACGTCAATGTGTATGAGTACCCATTGTTGAGATGTATGTGTAAACTGTGCGGATGTATACATAGAATACAAGTACTGTCGTATGCTAAACGTTCTTTTACTTCGTAAGTAAAGTTGAAGGCATAATCAGCTAATCAGGCTTACTTCAATTGTTTGCACAGTTACTGATTTGCTTATCACCACGTTACTGTATAGGCAACCTATTTACCAGTTTCAAGTACTGCAATTGGATACCACTAGAAGTTTCATCTTTAACTTCATACTCGTTGTTACAACACTGGTTTGGTATTGTCGGTCTTAAGAGTTTTGAACATGGCTTATCTTGTTGTGTCTAAGTGTCTACATGATTTCGATCACTTGGAACACCGGTGCACATCTATACAACACACTGGCCAACAAACCTAAGCTTAAAAAAGCGCATTATGTGTGTAGGATCATTCACATTTACATTTTCTGCTATAGGATTTGTACATTGATCTACATGTTCAGCCTGTCACATGTAACATGCCTTCTACATTTCGATTAGTCTTCTGAACATGACCATAGCTAAAGTATGACAAGTACATGTATGTGCCACCTTACAATAGACTTGTTGCTGGTAACCTATAGAACATCGGCTTAGTGTGGATTGAAAAGTATCGTGTATCTAGTGCTATTACTGTCTGTATTTGGGTTGAATGTTCGGTTACCAAAACACGTACCGACAAGAGCAATGCAAAGGGCATGGTTAGTATTAATAACACGAAGATGAGCAAACAAATTAGTATTTACAGATCAAGAAGTCTGTACTACATCTACAAGCATGCTCCGCGCACACATATGTGTATACATCTATGTATGTGCATTGAAAGAACAGAATTTGTCAACCAATGTAAGGCACTGTATATACAAAGTATACATGTATGCAAATATATTTACATATACATATAAATACATATATATATATATATATATATATAGGCATATATATATATGTATATTAACATGCCAAGCTCTCTACCATGCACAATTTCACACATACATGTATATATATATATATATATATATATATATATATTTATCCGTACACATATAGTCTTCATATATATATATATATATATATATATATATAACTTATGTGCATATACAAATACACATATATGTGATTGCAACTTATGACATATTTGAAAGTAATACAATAGAACAGAAGACTAGTATCCATGCTTATGTGTCCTCAGCCCGATAAAACTAACGAAGCAAATCATATGATGCAAACAGTATGGACTGAGGTCCAAATAACAGTATTGGTACTAGATATTTCCGTTAGGTCGAGTCGGGAAGATCAGCAACTAGGGCCGTGTCTCTGGTCGTTTGACCTTTAGACTGGACGTATGACCAGCAAACCAACTAGCCATAACATGAATGCGGGCACGAATGGGTCTCTGATGGATTCTATAAAGCAATATATGTGCTTTTACCATCACAATTCTAGCATAAAGCAAGCTAGCAACAAATACAGAGTCAAACAACTTCAAAAAAGCGCACGCCCACAGTCCCCCCGTTTTGGAACTCTATTAAAATATTCAACTATTACTGAGTGGGGGCCGTACCTAAGGTTCCTTTAATAAGGGATACCTAGGGTTCCTTTACAAGGGATCTATAAAGGGCTCTGGCGTTTAGGGATTGGGGATTGAGGGGGACTCTTTTCTTTCAGCTTCCTTCAGCCTCCCGCGTGAATATGATACTGGTTCAGACGTCCGGCCGCACCTCGTGACTCACAAAAGGCTTGAGGGGTTTAGGGTTTAGGGTTTCTGCTTCAGGGTTGTTGAAAGTTGAGGTGCCACGATGAGGAAGGCATGTTATTCTCTATAGATCCCTGCAATTAAAACTTTAAGGCGAATTTCCTCAGCATTTTTGGCAAGGTGGGCCTCTGCCAGGATAGCTTTAGTTGAGTTCTTTTCTCGAGCGCAGGATATGGAGCCGGGCTCTTCATCAGTAAGGGCCGAAAGAGTGACTCCTGGCTTGGTTCCTGGGCAGAAAGCGATGGGTGGCGTGAGTTCTCCCGACAAATCTACGAAGCATACGGATCGTGGTCATCGTGGCTGCCGTCCTATGTCGCTCCGAAGAGGCTTTTCAGGCAAACTGACGTGGAGTCATATCTGATGATCCTGTCTGTTGCTCTGCTGGGATTCGGCATAGGCTCTATGAAGGTGGCTTCACTTGTCCCTATGTTCGCGAACCTCCTACCATCGGCCTTCGGTGATGGGGACATGTTTCAGCCAGAACTTCTCGTCATTGTCATAGGCTCCTCCTTCGCTTATGCCTGTGAAATACACCAAGTAGATGGAGAGACGGGGGTGTTGGACAGTGTGCTCGTCATTGTCGGTGGCGTGTGGACGTTTGGGCAGCTGGTTTTGTTCAGCATGCTGGGCAGTCGCATTGATGTCTCTGTGTTTCTGCAGATCCTCAATGTCCTTCCCCTGATGCTGGTTGGGCAAGCATGCCGCTTTCTAGGGGTGTGGTTGTCGACGATTCTGGTGGTGAAGCTCGGTTGGCGCACCTGCGAGCGTGCTGACGAAGTCTGCAAGAAGTCCTTCCAAGCAACTGAATGGCCCGATGCCATGTTCTGTTTCTTGTCGGCGATGCCCAGGGCGACGATCCAGGGAGCCCTTGGGCCAGTTCCCCTGGTGAAACAGTTTTTTCCGCTGGAGCCAGCTGCACGTGGCCAGGAGGTCCGGCTCTTCATTGCAGCAGCTGCAAGACTCTACGTCCTGATCTGTGCGATTTTCGGCTCCATCTTACTGGACGACTATGGCCCCTTTTACCTGGAACAGGCCAAAATCGAGGCCAGCAAAGCGAAACGATGCAGCAGATGCTTAGTATCTGAGTGGATACACTTTACACTTCTTGGGGTTAACAGTACCCACTATAAACACCGAAAGTCTACACTTTTGGGTGTCTTGCGAACTCAGAAACTAAGGATGTAATAATACCCACTATAAAACCGAAAGTCTACACTTTTGGGGTCTTATGAACTCAGAAACTAAAGTTCAAGTTACCATAAGTTCGGGTTCCTTTTGGGATCCATAAGGGTTCCCTTTATGGGTTCTTATGAACTCAGAAGCTAAGGATGCCATGTGCAGGAATTCGTCGCCGGACGCAGCTCCATGTTCGGGCTCGCAGACACTGGGCTCTCGCTAAGGAACTTCTTTAGGCTTTTAGGGTCTAGGGTCTAGGGTTTAGGGTATCAAGTTTAGGCTTTCGGGTTTAGGCTTCCGGGTTTAGGGTTTAAGTTACCATAATAGGGAAGCCCCATTATTTAGATACTGTAGATCCCTACTGTATTAAGTTACCATATAGATAATTATAAAAGTTTAGGGCTTAGGGCTCAGGGTAACTGTAATTCCCTACTGTCTTAAGTTACCACAGAGAACTACATAAAAAATAGGGCAGAAAGGGTAAGAGAGTCCCGTAAAAAGAGCCCAGGACATGGGCGCATCCAGCGGGCAGGAAGTCGTGAGAGCTGGTCCCGAGCTTGCTTGCGCTGGCCTTAGCGACGACGAGGTCTTGCAGGAAAGGTCCGATCCCGGGGATGCTGGGCTCTTTCTTAGATATCGGACGGGATAGCTTTCAACCTTTTGGCTTCATATATTGGTTCTATGATAGAAAGTTTGAACTTTTTGGGGGCCCGGTTGTTGAAGAAGAAAGCTTTCACTTAGTAGCTGATTGGATACACTTTACACTTTTTGGGATAATACTACCCACCATAAAACTAAAAGTGTAGACTTTCGGGGCTTGTGAACTCAGCAACGAAGTTTAGGTTACCGGATACCATAATTTAGGGTTCCTTTTGGGGATCCATAAGGGTTCCTGTAAGAGTTCTAGAAGGGTCTAGGGGTTAAGGAGTTTATTTTAGGTTACCATGATAAGGACGCCATATTATTTACCGTAGATCCATACCATGGTACCTTATTAATTAAACTTGGCGTTCTTCTGGTTGGCTCTTAGGACTTTAACTTTTTGGGTTTCTATATGAACCATAATAAGGAGGCTAAAAGCTTAGCTTTTCGGAGGGGTTCAGAAGTCAGCCAAGTATACTCCTTAACAAGAGCCCAGGATGCAGCGGCCTCCGACGACCAAGATGCAACACTGGAACAGCCGAAGATGAAAGATCCCCTGGCCGGCGGAGTCGAGGCCTCTCTCTTTTAGTAGGGTTTATAAGGGTTTAGGGTTTATAAGGGTTTAGGGTTTAGTGGTTTAGGGTTTAGGGTTTATAAGGGTTTAGGGTTTAGTGGTTTAGGGTTTAGGGTTTATAAGGGTTTAGGGTTTAGTGGTTTAGGGTTTAGCCTTTTCTGAGCTTTGGAGTACCATACTTCAATATTTTTCCTTAAATTAAAGGAACCATGTTGAAATACAAGTTTATAAATTTTCTCCCTGATTACTTAAAAGCCCAGTCCTTAAGTTTCTCGAAGTGTGATGTGTTTGTCTGATGTGCTCGACCCATCTCTGCGTTTCCCTAGGGATCAAAATCGCCCAAAAGCCTTGTACAGTATGGTTTTGGGGCTCAAGAGCCTTAATATATGAGTCCTTAGATCCCTAGGGTTTTTCGCGATTGCATGACCCTGCATCCTAGAAACCCTGCGACAAAGGACCTGGGACGACCAGATAGCTCAGAAGTGCAGGGCAAAGGAACACACGGCACGGCTGCCACTGAGGCTGGGAGTGTCCGAGAAGAGGGTACCCTAATATAGCACCCTGAATAATAGGATCGCTTTTCTAAGGACCCCAAAATGAAGTAGAATAGGGTACCCTAATATAGCACCCTGAATAATAGGATAGCTATTCTAAGGACCCCAAAAATACGGTACACCCTAACTTTCGTGAACACTAATCCCTTGATAGAGCCCTTATAGGTCCCTGTAAAGGAACCCTAGGACCCCCCAAATTTTCGGCAACTCCCAGGTGGAGGAACCTCCCCCTGCAGCGACTCCTCAGAATCCAGGCTGCGAAGTTTTTTTTTGGGGGGGTGGGATTGGCGTCACTTAGAGTTTGGGGTTTAGGGTACATGCCAGGGAGTCCCGGAGTTTGGGGGCTGGCTCAGGGTTTGGGTGGCTTTGATTAAGTTAGAAGGGAATTGCAGGGTTTGGGGGCTTAGGTAGAGGGGTTGGGGGGGCAGTACTAGGGTTTAAGAGGGTTCTGTAGGTTTCGGGAGCTTTGGGTGGCTTTGTTTTTTTTTCTTAATGGGCGGGTTTCGTGGGGCCTTGGGTTGATCTGGGGGTCTTAAGTAGAAGGGTTTTTAGGGTTTGGTTGGGAGTAGTCGAGGGTTTGGGGGTTGAGGGGCTTGAGATTCGGCCCAAGGGTGATGATTTCAGGTTTAGGCTTAGAGTAGAAGCCAGAAAGTTGGAATATGATTATCCTAACCCTTCTAGGGTAAATTATAGGGTATCCTACCATGAAACCATATTCCAACTTTCTGGAGTTCCCTTTAAGTATTTATGTAGGGTTTAGGGAGAGTTTGCGGCTTGAGGGCCAGGGTTTTAGGTTTTGGGCGGGGGTTTAGGTCGTGGGTGCCTTAAAATTGACCATCAGCAGACAGGACAGTCACCCCCCAACAAATCACACCAGCCAAAAAAAAGCATTATTTCGGCCGCTGTTTTTTGGTACCGGCTTGATTCAGGAAAAACCGCATTAATTAGGCCCATGGTATTAAACACGCCGTAACATGAACCCTAAACCCTAAATACTATGACACTCTTATAGTAGCCTCATGAATCCCTTCAAAGGAACCCCTAGAAACCCTTGTGTCAGATCCCAGAGACTCCAATATACCTTAATTAAGGAATGTACCTGTAATTTTAGTAGGATCCCTAATATGATTTAAGGAATATTCCTTAATTACGGGATATTGGAGTCTCTGGGGAGCCCAGGAGTTCGATAGATCCACCGGACACACTGCCGGAGGCGCCGGCAGAGATTGAGTCTCCGCGGCGGACGGATCGGTCACGAACGGCATGTCCGGTTTCCGGGTTCTTCTTAACTTCCAAGGGTAAAACGAGGGACCCTTCATAAGGACCCCTAGGTATATACCCTTAATATTATGGCTATTATATACCCTTATTCTAGCCCGTTATAGGGTAGGGGTCCGGTTTCCGGGTTCTTGTTAACTAAGGGGCTGAGCCTGTGCTCTTTTGGAGCTTATGTAATCCTAATATAAATTCAAAAGGTTAACCGTTTTTGGGCTAGGGTACTCAGCCCCCTGCGTTAAGGAGTTTACCTCGAGTTACAACAATATTAGGGTTTCATAGCAAACAATATGTGGTTTCCTTATAGTGGTAAGTTCACACTAAACAAAACCTAAACCCTAAGCCCTAAACCCCTTAATCCCTAAACCCTAAACCCCTAAATCCCTAAGCCCTCAACCCCTAAAACCTAAACCCCTAAACCTTAAGCCCCTAAATCCCTAAACACCCATCAAGAGCCCAGGTTTTGCCCAAGGACCTAAAGGCGATCCAGAGTCTAGCCTACTCAGACGAAGAGCCCCGGAGGCGAACCTGGGCTTTGGAGTACTATACTTTTCGGACTTGTGACAAAGAGTTTGGGGTTTAGGGTTTGGAGTACATAAAGGGAACCCAGTTATCCTTGTCGTATATAGTTATTACCGATTTTGGTTTTTGATTTTCCGGCCCCTTGAAGCCCAGGAACCGCCTTCGGCTCCATGACCAGCCAACGCAGCTCGGGCCCACGGCAATCGACACTGGGCTCTGGTTTCAAGGAGTTTAATATGGGTTACCATAGTATAAACCAGACTATTTACTATAGATCCCTCTTACTGTGGTAGGTTGTAACTTACCATAATCCGAAACAATCGTATTTCCTAGAGATTCCTGTTATGGTATGACCGAGGATTGCGATGGCTTTTCGTCCCACCACCGACAGCCGCGCGTCACAGACTTCCTTGCCTCGTCGAGGAGTTCTGTTTTCTATGGAGCCGCCACACGAGGATGAGGACGAAGTCCATGAGACCGGAGTAGGAGAAGATGTGACCATTCCTCACCTGCATCCGGCTTTGCTTTCCAGGGGCCGCACAAGCAAAGGCCCAAAGGATTACATGCCCCTAGCAAGTGAGGCATCTTTACCGCTGGTGCCTTAAGGGTTTTGGGACGTAATGTCCAGTTTCCGAATCCCACACCGCAAACCCGAATCGCGGAGCAAGATTCCGAATTCAAGTTGTGGAATACTTGGTTCCTTTCAGCTTGGGCCGTGCGAAGAGTTCCGTTTCCACCCCTCCAACAGCGGACACAGTGGAAAGTGTTTTGCTGAGACTCCTTTTGCATTGGGTGTTGGAGTTTAGGTCTTAGGCACCTTGGGCTGCCAGAATGCTTGACTATTGAAGCAGCAGTTTGGCATGGGTCGGAGCATAATGTCAATCCTAGACAAAGAGCCAAAGTCCTAGCAGTCCTCCTGCCATAGTCCATCATAAACTCTTATCGGTGGTCTACTTCATTGCATGCGGTTCTGCCTAATGGCTTCAGGACAATCAGCCTGGAGTAGAACAGAGCGAAGGGGATGTTGTTTAGATCCGGCGGCCGTTATCACAGCAGCTATTGCTTCCTTGTTGCCTCATTACAAGTCTGCAGCGAATCCTTGGGCCCTCGAGCCTGACCTTTTCTTTGGGGTTTAGGGTTTAAAGAGGGTTTCCTGTACTAACCAGGCCGAGGCCAGAATATGTGTCGGAATGCAGCTAGAAACCCCATCCCACAAGGAGTCTGCTCTAGTTTCGGGACCTGCTTGGGGTACGTAGTTATCTGGATTCTTCGTATGATGTTGAGGCATTGAAGGCCCAAAAGCACAACCGTCCTGAAGAAGATCCAAGTTGCTAAATCCCCAGGTCAATCCCGTTAATGCCGTTCGGGTCAAAGGCTATATGCTGCTTGAGAATGTATTTTGATTTATGTTCCACGGCTGCAGCAGCTCCAGGCCAGCGACTTGTCCATGTTCCCAGAATCCTAACCCGTTCGGTCTTGCATTCCGGGATAAGGCGTGCATTTTGAGGATCCATTCTGGTGTCCTATGGGGGGAGTTCGCATGGAGTTTCTCTTTCCTACCAGTGACCCCGAATATCTGCAAGAAGTTCCCAAACAGCCCACGGGTTAAAAAGCCATCAAGCAGCACGTCCCACCAGGTCCTTTCATCACGCTTCGATCCTAAACCTTACAGTCGAAGCCGGAAAGTTGGAATATGGTTTCAGGGTAGGATACCTTATTATAATTTACCATAAAGGGGTTACGATAATGATATTCCAACTTTCTGGCTTCTACTGTAAATCGGTCCCAGGTCCTTCTATCACGCTTCGATCATCCCTCTAGCACTACTGACTGCCACTTGAAAGGATAGGTGAGTTTGCTTTCACTGGTTTCGGGGCTGTGAGGATTTCAGGAGTCTGAGTATAGGAACGTAGGGACGTCGCAGGGTTCCTGAATTGAAGACTATTCTGTGTATCGTATACCCGCCAAACCTTATTCTGATTTTGAAAGGTCCTGCATTTTGTCAGAAGAAAGCCATCGGTTTTTCGTCTCTGCACCGATGACCAGGTAGCCAATGTAGCGTCGGGTTGGGGTATCGGAGCTGTAGGATTGTAGAAAGTGCAGCTGCCTGCCCGGTTGTTTGGCTCTTTCGACACAAGAAGCCCGAAGAGCTCAATGAGCGTACAGTAAGCAACATATTTTAGAAGCTGCCGCCACCCTGTAATAGTGACTATAAGGATTATAATTAATGCCCTATTACATTCCTATTGTGCCACTATTACAGGGTGGGGGCAGCTTTAAAACATATTAGCCACATGGCTGATGTCATGTCACGCATCGCTGGATGACAATGTGAGGAGTATTTGTTTGAGCTCTTTTCGGACCATCAGAGTGGCTACAGCATGCCAAATGTCATTCAAACCATAAGTTCTTAAACCAGAAACCCTGAACTCTAGATTCTTAAACATGCAAAACTTGACATATCTAAATGACTGTTTGTCGTTCTACAAGCAATAACACAGTAGAGCGAGTTGTAATGATGATTCTCCCAATTCGTAAATGTTGGAATTTGGGGCTGTGCGGGTTTGGATATAAAGACTTGCAGCTCTGATTCACGGTTCAGGGCAAAGTACCAAGCGTCCTTGCATGTAAGCCTGCAGCGAAAAGAGTATGTGCGACAACTCCCTGCGCATCCAAAAAGACCAAAGCCCGATCCAAGGCCGTGGGAGCATGGAATGCTTTGCCTTCACGCAGTAGCGAATGGCCCAAAGGCTTTGCGAAGTTCATGGCGCCTTGCCTGCAAGCAAGGCATTGAAGTCAAAGGAAACCCCGAACTCTACATGGCCAAGCAGTGCAGGAACATAGAGTTGAGCCACAGGTTTTATGGAACGGTATCTCAACCTTCTGCATCGGGCTCTGCATTAGGATTTTGGGCTCGAACGAGTTTGCCTTTGTCAGGCTGTAGGGCGCACAAGGGTTTAGGGCTTAAGTTTAGGTTTTATCGTCAGGAATATGATTTCTTAACACGTGTAATGTCTAGAAACCCCCAAAACCTTGAATCGTTCAGGCTTGCCGGAACAGCTGTCGTGCGCATTCTTCGACAAAGGATGTTCCTTCCTCTAAGACACCTCTTCTGCGAGCTGTTCACTTCGTAAGGGCCTTCGAGAGAATTTCCCATGCAAAGCTCTGATGCAAAATCGAAGCGAACGCACCCGACAGACGCCCTGAAAAGCCGTGTAAAGCAGAGCCTGCATAAATCGACTGTAGTAGCCTTCAGCCCTATAGATATGGACCCCGTTGTGGAACCTCAGGAACATTTAATGTGACAATTGTAACATAGGGGCCTTAATAACTACCTATACTATTTTGGGGGGTTCCTTATTATAATATAATATAATGGGTTCGAAAAGCCTATTCTAATTGTTAAGGCCCCGACATTAGACCAAAACGGCTCGGCATGCAAACTCGCAGCTCTCAGCTGAGGCCACCTACCTTAGCGCCTGGACCTTGTGTGTTGCTGCAGACTGGCTGCAGGGCCCCTACGTCTACGCCCTCTATGAGGCACCATTCAGCATCGAACCCTGAGCCCATAGCTTTCCCCAAAGCCCAAAGCTTAAAGAAGAAATATGCCCAACGTAACATACAAATTGAATGCAGAGAGTTCTGAATCTGTTTCGAGGTATACAGGCTACATGGCTCTTTGGGTACGAACTTTAAGTGCACTCTAGCGTGGGCTTCTGCAGGTTGGGCGTTGACGCATCCGGCTTCTTGTTAAGGGTTCTAAATTCTAATGTAATTGATCACGTTATGTAAACCCATTATGTACCAAAGACCCCTGTTATGGCAATTGAAATTAACTTCCTTACCAAGAACCCAGGTGTCTGGGGCCTGTAGCTTAGACGCGATCCTAAACAGCATTTCCACTGGTACAGTCAATTGCCGTTATGTGACACCCATAGCACAGCATTTGTATTGGACGTCAGAGTAATCGTTTTGACGAACATGCGAAGCCAATTGATGCCCTGCAAATCCGCAGTTGCAAACAATGGTCCGTTTTCAGTTCCTTTTTGTCAGCCGTTGAAACTGGCCTTGAAGTTGGTGCGAGCCTTGGCACGAACCATCGCCATTAGTGTTGACTCCTACTGTTGCATTCGACTCACAACAGACGACAGTTTTGCCAGGTCAGAACTGCCTGTGGAGCTTAGCTGGTATCGTCTAGAGACCTCACCACGCGTCAACCCAAACCGAAAGCTACATAAGCCCTAGCTCCTTGAACCCTGCACCTTGAAACAGCCAGGCTTATGGCTTTAGCCCGCACGAAATCGCACAGCTTTTCGTCGCTGGCTTCGGCTCTGCTTTGTTCTGCAGCTGCGTGGGACCCGAGTCGTGTTGAAGCTGTAGGGCTTACCTCGACCCTGAGCTATAGTTTTGTTTACCGTTACCGGATGTTCTTGGCGTTCTTATGGTTGGCTCTTAGGCCTTTAACTTTCTGGGTTTCTATATGAACCATTACAATGAGGCTAAAAATTTGGGTTCAGAAGTCAGCTAGTTTTCTTACACGCCGTGAGAAGGGTTATCCAATGGGTCCAAGACGAGGTCCAGCAATTCAGGGAGTAGGTATGGGGCCAAGATTTCAGGGCTTCAGCGGTTGAAAAAGCATCAGGTTGTAGGATGAAAGGCTTCAGGGCTCACTGTACAGCCCATGTTAGCCCGTCATGGGACCGTACAGAATCCTGTAGGTTCCTATTACAGGCCGAAAATGGTCTAGGCAAGTTGCAGGGTAGATCGATGGAGCATTGCTTGGACAGCAACGCAAAACAATTATGGATGTGAGTCATGTCCCTGTGGGATGATCCACAGCAGACCGCAAGCCCCTAAATCCATATTCCTTGTGAGCCCAAATCTCTGAAATTTAGGCCCCACCATGCGAGTACTGGGAAGTAGCGAAGTTGAAATGCCGCATCCCCCCAAAAATTCGGGCCTGGAAATAAACAGCCTGCGTACGCCTGTATAGCCCTTGTACAAACATACGTTTATATACTTTACTTAGGAAGGCACATGAAGGCCACCACATAGCCAGCATTGTACTCTTGTACACGCAGACCCTCCCTAAACCCTATCTACTCTTATTATGAAGGCATATGGAGCGCCCTGTATTGGACTGAGGCTTCGTTGGCGGCTTGGCCGATCGATTCGGCCGGAAGAAGGGCTGCTTAGCATATTGCCGGCGACTCAGAGAGCGACTAGAGACCCTTCTGTACGTGCTAATGTAGGAACCTGATTAAGAAACCTTGGGCCCTTATTAGGGTTCCTATGAATCCGCCCAGGGTTTCTTAAACAGGGTCGTCATTAAGCGTTCAAGCCTCCACAAATCTTCCAACGAGCTGAAGTCTGCTCTGCTTTGAATCCGCCGTGAACATACAGGGTATCCGAGCCGGTGGCAAAGACCATGGCCCCACTCCACCGACCGGGAGGCTTTACATCGAAACTGAGTTGCGTCCACTGCATCTTCTCGAGCTCCAGCTTCCACAGGTCATCCAAGGCATGGCCAGTTCGCCCACCCTGCAGCCAAAGCACATCGCTGGCACTGTCGTACGGCAGCTGATGCGCGTGCCGCCCGCTGGGCCTTTGGACGAAAGTAAACTCATGCCAGGTCATGCTCGCAATGTGCAGCTCCCACAGGTCTGAGTCTGAGACTGGCCGTTGAACCCAGCAGCCAAAGCGCGAGGCAACTGCTGTCATTGACGAGTCGGCCACCGTACCGCGCAGATGGCTTTGTAGAGCCACTGAGCATCGTCTCGTTCCACGTCCAGAGATTGCAAGTCGAGTCTCCACAAGTCGGAGAGCGAATGTTGAGGGCTTAGGTCACGGCCAGATCCAGACCCAAAGCTGCAACATGCCGTGCGACAAACTTGAGCTTTGAAGGTTCATACCCCATAGTTTGAACAAAGAGCTCGTTATAGCTAACGCGCGCCTTAGTGACCATGGGGTTTTGGCAGGCTTTTGGCATTCTTCTGGGGTTGGGAGGGTGTTGAGCATCCATGCCCGAACGGTAATAACGTCCACTCCGACTCCGCACTTCCCTTGGGAGTTTGAGGTGGGGGGTTGGGGGGGAAGGGATGATGTCGTCGTGTTCGCACGTACAAAGCTTTTTGCCACTTCTGCCACCCACTGCTGCTCCTGCAGCATGAATGCAAACACTGATGGTGCTTCCAACCCATCTCATGCAGCACATTTTGGTCGGAATCAGGGATTGGCCAGCCTCGTTTTGCACTTCCAACGCACAGCCATGCAGCGTTTGAGCGTCCTGGCCGGACACGTCACCTCGACGAGCGCAGAGGAGCTGCTGAACCCATCGCCAGTAGCCAGCTACTGTGACGGTGGGGTTGAGAAGTCGGACGATGACATCGTGATCTGCTGCGCAGTGAGAACGGCAATCACGAAAGCAAAGAAGGGTGGCTTCAAGGACACGCCACCTGAGGACATGCTTGTTCCGCTCTTCCAGGAGATCATGAAGAGGACAGGAGTGAAGCCCGACTGCATCGGTGACATTCAGATCGGCAATGTGATGCAGCAGGGTGGTGGAGCTCTGACCTCGCGCCAGGCCCAGTTCATGGCAGGGCTGCCATGCACAGCAGGCTTGAGCTCGGTCAATCGTTGGTGCAGCAGCGGATTGCAGGCAGTGGCCAACATTGGCGCCTCAATCAAGGTGGGCTCCATTGACATTGGTCTGGCTGGTGGCGTGGAGCAGCTGTCTTTCTTCCCCATGGGTGAGGGCCTGGATTTGAACAAGTTCTCCGAGCACATCTTGGCTGTCGAGGATGCCAAGAATTGCCTGCTGCCCATGGGCATCACTTCCGAGAACGTGGCGGCGAAGTACGGAATCTCTTTCGAGAGGCAGAATGCCTTGGGCGCCAGGTCGAACGACTTGGCGATCGCGGCTCAGAACAATGGTCTGTTCAAGGACGAGATCGTGCCGATCAAGACCAAGACCATAGACAAGAAGACCAAGGCTGTCAAGGAAGTCCTTGTCGACACAGATGAAGGCCCCCGAGCCGGCACTACGGTGGAAAGCCTAGGCAAGCTGAAGCCTGCCTTCAAGGCAGGTGGAACCACCACAGCTGGCAACTCGAGTCAGGTGTCCGATGGTGCAGCCCTGGTTTTGGTAGCTCGGCGCTCTGAGGCCAAGAAGCACGGCTTACCAATCCTGGCACGACTGCGAAGCTTCGCAGTTGCCGGCTGTGACCCGGCACTCATGGGCATCGGGCCAGCTGTGGCAATCCCGAAAGCACTGGAGAAGGCAGGCTTGACGGTTGCCGACATCGACATTTTTGAGATCAACGAGGCTTTCGCATCCCAGGCGGTGATGACGGTCGACACCTTGAAGATCCCTCTGGAGAAGGTGAACCCCAAGGGCGGTGCAATTGCACTTGGCCATCCGCTTGGCTGCACCGGAGCCCGGCAGATTGCCACTCTTTTGCCAGAGATGAAGCGCACCAATGCCAAGTTTGGCCTGTGCTCCATGTGCATTGCAACCGGGCAGGGGGCCTGCGGCGTGTTCGAGAACGAGCAGTAGTGGCGCGAGATGCACAGGTCTCCCCACAAATAGCATTGTCAAATTTGTGAAACCGTCTCATTGGATCGCTCTGCCTTTTTTGTACATCTCGTTTCCTTGGCCGAGGAACTCCATGGACTTTCGGGCGGGAGGAATTGCACAGTCCGTTTCATGCCAAGCTTTGCCGGCTCGCACTTGGAGCGGGGCTCTAAGACTCTAAACATGTCTCTTATCGTAGAGTAGAGTCCTGGGCGAGGCCTCACACGCACCCGTTCCCAAAGCCCTCACATAGGGAACGTCGTCCTTGCCACAAGGCTGCAACGGCGAATATCTTATTGGGCTTCGCTATAAGGGGGTTGGTATGGTATCTCTAGATTAATTTGTGCTTATGCGTTTTTTTGTGAGCCGGAGGTTTGCTGTACATCTTCTCTTGCGCGACGAAGCACTGGCCGAGTTCTCGGAAAGCAGTGGGGGCTATCGAAGGTTTAGGGTTTAAGGTTCGGGGTTTAGGGTTTAGGTGTGGAGGGTTTTGGGATCTGGGTTGCTATAAGGATACCTTTATGGAATACGATAGCGGTCAGTACAAGGGTCTTAGAGAGTTTGATTGCCATTAGGGTTCTTCCCAGGATTGATTCAACGGTTACTTCTTGTATAAGGGCTTAAGGATATTGGATTCAGGGTTTGCGTGAGGGATTGATGTTTAGTGGTGTAGATAGAGGCGTTCAGGGTTGTGAGGGATTTGGGAACCCTAAACCCTATAAACCCTAAACCTATAGCGAGTCGGCCTGGGGTTGGGTCTTTACTGTTGAAGTTCAGGGCTACGACTTGCAAAGGTTCATGAAAGGTTTTAGGTTGTGAAGCGGAGCCTCAGCCAAGACTTACCTTTGGTTCGTCGGGAGTGGAAGAATGGTAGTAATAGTTGCACACCATTCCTCCATCCCCTACTAACCAAAGGTAAGAAGAGTACCTCCGATAAGCTGACGCACAGAATTCTCGATCTCAGACGATCCCAAGTGCAAGAATGCTGAGGGGGAGAGGGGTTTCACCACCTCCAGCCTTCGTTATAAAGTGCTGCACCCAACCAGCTATAGAAAAAGGTGCAATCAGAGGCTTCAGAAAGCCAGGCCGCTTCCTACCAGAGGTCTTTACACAAATCCTGGGCCGAGTGTGAGCAGTAAATACACCGCCTAAGCATGTTGACCCCATTATGCCTTTCGCGCAGAGCGAAAAAAACGCAACTTACCTTGACGCATGTGGGGAAGTGGTCCTTATGTGCCTCCAATTCTTCGGGCATGGATGCCTGAACGGAGGTGCCACTTGGTGCGCTGGCTCTTAGTTCGAGACATATGTCTCCCTCATGAATTTCTTCCATCTTGCAACGGCAAGACATGTCAGTTTCGGAGTTTAGGGCTCGATACGGTGAAGTGGTTGTTCGAGTGTAAGTTGGTGTTTTGGAGTTGGCACCTTAGCCCGGGCAGGTGCGGAGTATCAGAGCCCCACAGCTCGCTGCATTCTGCCGAGAAGTCCCTCAAACCCCACCTTGGAGGTTCATGGGTAGTTATAAGTAGGGTTATAAGCCCCCTAATATGAGAAATAAGTGTAGTTACCCTACTTATAACTACCTATGAACCTCCAAGAACCCTTGCGAGTAAAGCTTCCGCACCCCAAGCCCTGACTGTTCAGATGTAGAATCTCAACCACGGGTCTTTAAGAACGACGCCGTAGCATCCAGATCCACAGCCCAACAACAGCATCTGTAATGTCTTTTGGAATGCAGAAAATGGAGAATTTGTGGGGTGCGGGACTGTCAAGGAAGTAGTATTAGTATTCGCAATCGCAGAACAGCAACTTGTAAGTATTGGACATTTATTGTGGCCTCGGTTGCTCGGGAAATCCCAAACCCACCACTACGAGGAAGAACTATTGGGTCCTGATGCTGGGAAGAGTGACGGGAGGTGCATCGCTGCCAGGGTCTAAACCCAGAGTCCTACATCCCCTACGCCCGCAAAGACCTCGACCAACATAAGCCATTGTGAATGTAGTAGGGTTCTAGCTAGGTCGCCACTAGTCGTCTCAGAGATGCATGTATACAAGTAGCTGAACTATATATATATGTATATATATATATATACATACATATACATATATATATATATATATATTTATTTATATTTATTTATTTATTTATACACACACAGGCACATAAATACATACACACATACATACATGCATACCTACATACATACACATAGAAGAAAAACAGGGGTCATCATGCGATGGGGTGTTTGGTTTGGGTTTCCGGGATGCTTCGAGGGTTTAAGTTGCTGGGGTTTGAGCGTTGGGGTTGGTTAGAGGCTGGCATCGTGCAGTGGGATTGCCATGGGGTTCTTGATTCCGACGTCGGTTCATGTTACGGATCTTCAAGCGAAGAAGCCATGCTATGGAAGTTGGCGACTTACGATAGCTCGAACCACATACGGACAGCACCGCCTAGCAATTTCTGGTCTCTCAAAGCCCTAGCCTGAAACCAACGGGCTTGAGGCGTGGGTAGCCGAAACTGAAAGCCAGTCTCCATTTCAATCTTTGCAGTGAGAGTACTCGTAGCCCTTCTGACGGCCTCCGTGCCTTGAGAGATGGTGATGCACAGCGCCAGAGCCTAAACCTTACCTGAAGGACCAAATGACCCTTATAAAGTAGGGGCCCTATACCCATATACTATGAACCCCTATATGGTATATGAACCTTAAACCCTTTTAGGGTTGATTTCGTCCTTAAGGTAAACCCAAACCACATGCGTCGCCCGGACTGTCAGAGTGTGATCATTGAAACACTTGCGTTATGGTGTAAAGGCTTTCCTTCCCAGACCCCCTGGAGGATCCAAAAAGTCGATCCCTTAATCGGGGTTCCTATAAAGTACCCTTAGTAGTATAGGGCCCCAACTTAGGGCATCTACTTTCTAGATCCTCCCAGGGTCTGGGTTGGAGTCCGCGAAATATGTACACGTTGACCTTGAACGGGTTCTTTCTAGAAGATCTAGAAGTGTTTGGGGTTAAACCTTAGAGGTACCTGCACCGTTAGGGCGGCTGTCGTCAGGATTTGCAACCTCATTACTCTTCTCCTGCTTCGAGTGCTGCAAGCTCAGTTGCTGTTACTGCTGATGGGCAAAATCCTGCATTACCCATTAGAAGGAATATACCATAGTTCCCATAGTTTTGAGTCCTGAGGGTCATGCAGGATTTTGTCCATCAACAGTATCCCGGTATTTACCAGTCCTGGCAGGAGTTTACAGTAAAAACCCAAAAGTTGGAAGCCCCATTGCCTCAATCCTTTAAGGGTAATGTATAGGGAATCCCAGCACTATTTGGCCTTAATCAAGGTTTCCAACTTTATGGGGTTTACTGTAGAGTTTACAGGTTTGTTGGCACCCTCTGACCCTGAAGCCGCTATGGGACTCTCTATGCACACTCTGACTAGCTACCTAGCGGTTCCATAGTAGTCTTTTTTGAGGTTCATATATCTCAAAACGGAACTAATTACTGTCGAGCCTATGGCTAGTCCTGTCGTTTCTCGAAGCCTGAACCCTCGACTTGCACCCAACATCTTGAGCCCTAAAGCCCTAAAATCAAGCCTTAAACCCTGAACCCAAAACCCCTGAACCCAAACCCCTAAACCTCAAACCCTAAAACCCCCAAACTGAACCCCTAAACCCTTATTAACCCAAAACCCACAGCTAAGTTCTTAAAGCTGAAGAACTGCTAAATCTCCAGCTTCTTCTGTACGCGATCGGCTGTTGGGGTCCGGCGGGGTGTTCCTCGAAACTTTGCATGGTCTGGGCTGCTGGAGGTATGGCCTGGACATTTACCCCTGATGTTGCAAGTTGCAAACTTGGACACCAAGGGGCGACGGTTTCATGAGCTGGCATTTATTGAAAAGGCCATGTGACTTTCCCCCCATCTCTTGTCCTGAAGAATTCTTCCCTGTACCTTCCCTCGCAGCGGAGTCTCGGGGTTTCGAGCTTTCCGCCTTGCGTGGTTTCGATTGTGGCGTCCTATGTGGCAGGTGATAGAAAAAACGGCATGGCGGACTGCTTCTGCCGGGGGTCCGTTCCGGACGCCCTGCCAGCTTCAAACCGTTACTGTCTGACTCTGCCTGACTGTCCGAACGGCGTGTCCAGCCACGCAGATGGTCAGCAGGTTGGCGCAGGATTTTGGCGATGGAGGATAGACAGGCACACTTTGCAGTTCTTGTCCACTGGGGAGTGGATTGCAGGCAGCCGCGTAGATTTGAATACTTTGTCGGGCACACGTCCTGAAAGATTATGCCAGTGCTGGTACGTTGGCCACCTAATCAAGGTGTGATGGTAGTTGGGCCGTTTGTTGGGCTCTGTTTCGAGCACGTACACTACGCGCCAACCTTACAGCCCCCAAACCGCCTGGGAAGTCCGAGTGTGAGCACCGAAAGCACAGAACTTTAGGGTCTGGGCCTTGGGGTTTTGGGTATCCCGAAATCCTTTCTGCCCCAAAGCCACATGTCCTCATCGGACAGCTATAAGGCTGGATGGTGTCTGAGCACACAGTGCGCAACAAGTTCTCATCGGCACTCCTGAACTACATGCCGGAGCCCCGGATCCTACTATGGGCGCTTAAGTAATTACTCGTACATATACTATTTTGGGGCGGTTCCATATTACCATTATTGTAGAATGGCCCCCAAAACCTTATTCTAATTGTCTTGTGAGTGAAGGAACCCTTGCACTCCAAGCGCTTTTCTCAATGGGGTGGTTTGGATTCCGGCATGTGTGGCTAAGCTTGTGGCCCAAAATCTCTTTATCTCTTGACCCCTTGAGTGGCTTGACTGAAAGGTGTTAAACTACTCCATAGGCGTGTAGCGCTTTTGGTGGCATCGCCGCCTTCCTAAACACCCTGAACCCGAAACTCTAAACCCTAAAGCCCTAAACAAGTTTTGGATAGGTGGTTTTGAAAATTCAACCCGGCACCCGATTAGAGGGATGCTACTATGAG